ACAGAAAAAAAACATTGCATGCCACTGCTTGAACAAAGGCAGCAAGTAGAAACTGGCAGCACACTGGACACGCAAAAGTGACAGTGTGAAAACAAACATTTGCTAATAGTTATCATGATATCCTAGAAGTCTAGACATTGTATTTTCTCAACATAGAGCATAAAGGTGTAAAAAATAGCACCAACAGGTGTACTGGAAGTGTATTAGTCACATTTAGCCAAGCTGTCATGACACAACACAGCTCAATGAAACAGAAGCACACAACTCAGCTACGGAAAAGACTATGTAGAAATAGACACTGACCTGCTGTATATACAGTACAGCGTAAAAGGCTTGCACTGGATTTCTGTAAAGCTGTTTTACAATGTCCACTATAAAAATACATTTGAAATCTAATTTTCTTCTTAGACTGGGCCAGGAAATCTGTTAACTATTTTTCAAAGCTTTAAGTGAGTTTTTGCCTGTAAAAGTACTATTTAACATCACAATAAACAAACACGCACACATTATCTATGACGCTTATCCTTCTGGGTTGCAGGGGGTGCTGTAGCCTTTCACAGTGGTCATCAGGCAGAAGGCAGGAAACACCCAGGACAGGTCACCAGTCCATCACAGGGCAGACATACAGACATATATACACTGATCAGGCATAACATTATGACCACCGCCTTGTTTCTACACTCATTGTCCATTTTATTAGCTCCACTTACTATATAGGTGCACTTTGTAGTTCTACAGTTACAGACTGTAGTCCATCTGTTTCTCTGCATATTTTGTTAGCCCTCTTTTACCCTGTTCTTCAGTGGTCAGGACCCCCATGGACCCTCACAGAGCAGGTACTACTGCAGTGCTGATCATTCTCAGCACTGCAGTAACACTGACATGGTGGTGGTGTGTTAGTGTGTGTTGTGCTGGTATGAGTGGATCAGACACAGCAGTGCTGCCGGAGTTTTTAAACATTGTGTCCACTCACTGTCCACTCTATTAGACACTCCTACCTTGTCAGTCCACCTTGTAGATGTAAAGTCAGAGACGATAGCTCATCTGCTGGAAATTTTTGGTTGGTGGACTATTCTCAGTCCAGCAGTGACACTGAGGTGTTTAAAAACTCCAGCAGCTCTGCTGTGTCTGATCCACTCAGACCAGCACAACACACACAAATAGTACCTGCTCTGTGAGGGTCCATGACGGTTCCTGACCACTGAAGAACAGGGTAAAAGAGGGCTAACAAAGTATGCAGAGAAACAGATGGACTACAGTCTGTAATTGTAGAACTACAAAGTGCACCTATATAGTAAGTGGAGCTGATAAAATGGACAATGAGCGTAGAAACAAGGAGGGGGTCATAATGTTATACCTGATTGGTGTAATCTCACACACATTCAAACGTAGGGGCAACTTAGTGTGTCCAACTGACCTGACTGCATGTCTTTGGACTGTGGGAGGAAACCAGAGCACTCAGAGCTACAGGGAGAACATGCAAACTCCACACAGAAAGGACACTGGTTGCCCGGCCGGGGAATCAAACCCAAGTTACTGACATTTTGTGAGATGTTTAGAAAATCACAGGTTTGCTTCTTCCTCTCTATGTAGCAGTTCCAGCTGGCCTATTTGTTAAATCCCATCAGCAGCACACTTGATTTAATTTAATGAAGGACTGATGACCTAAACTAGCTGTAAATACTGTAAATGAGGAAAATATATTGTATTCATGTTTTATGTATTTCTTTATTTTTTGCACTTATTCTAATGTTAATGTGTTTATAAGCTACTGAATTCTTACTGTGCAGATCAACAGCTTTAAATGTACTTTGTCAGTATACCATTACTGAGCAAAGGAAATAGACAAAAAAGAGATTTCTTTTTCAAATTAAACAAATAAGCAGCTGGTGTTCTCAGAACACAGGACTGACTACTCAAGAACCCGGACCTCAAAATCATTGAATTCGTTTGGGATTGCTTGGATTGTGAAAAGCAAAAAATGCCTGAACACTGAAAGTGTGAAAAAAAAAACATCCCTGCAGATTTCTTTGAATAACTAAATGTTAAGTCTCCTGAACAGAAGGGAAGCTGTAGTAAGGCCAAAGGATGGACATACTAAATACTGAAAAATTTATTTAGTTTTTGAAGCTTCTGTGTAATTTTTCATTAAATACACAGCCTCTCCTTTTTTCCTGATGCTGAAAAAACCTTGTACTTTTTGACTGGCAAGTAAATAAACGAAGGGTAGTTTCTGTATTGTGCACAGCACTATACAACACAATATTAGACTCTCTTCACTGACAACTTCCTTAAGAAGGAAGACCAACATTTAGATTGTAAGGACTGACCTTGACTGGCATACTTGCTTGCTGTGTAAATAATTAACAGCAAACTTTGTACTTCACCTCTATAGCAGGCGACTACTTCAGAGTACAAGTCGAGCATGTTTTCCATGATAAAGTTAAAGCAAATGGGAATTAACTAGCAAACGCTAGCTCAGGATAATGCACACTACATTCAGCTACTCCGGACAAATGATCAACTTTTTCCAGACGTTATACTCGCTGGGATGGCAAAGCTATGAAGCCTTGAGAGGACAGGGAGATGAAAGAGGGAAGAAAAGGAAGAAATAAAGCGTGTATATTTTCAGAGCGAATGGAGAAGTGTGCATTAACAGCACTATGTAATTATAATCATAACCATCCCAGAGGTAGATGTAATGGAATAGCAGGACAGTAAAACACAGCAGACCAATCTGGTGATCCTTCATGTTGTTCCTTAGCAGATGGAAAAAGTGACCCGAAAGAGGCAAAACTGTCCAGCCGCCTCTGCTAGCAGTGAAAAGTCTTTGATGGTGCATGCTACTACACAGAGTCAAGTGACTCTGCGCTTATCTAGAAACAGCTGTACTCCAAATATCAGACATAACACAGTCAGCAGGGTGCTGCTACTGATGAAAAGACACTGTACGCACTTCCAGTCAACTTTTCCATTCTAAATCCCCAAGGTCAGGAAAAGACAACAGTGTTTACTCTGAAGCTTTATTTGATCTTTTTTTTTTTAAATATGATACACAGGCAAGTTGAGATCTAGGAACAGACTATATCACAATCACAGGATATGACCATGTGCAAAACATCCTACTTTAAACAATCTCTTAAAACATTTGATTGAATCCTAAACATTATATTGTATTGCTGTAAATGCAGTATAGGGATGCACTGATATAGGAATTTTGCACCAATGCTGATAGCTGATATACATATCTGCCCATGCTGATACATAACATTTTATATAATGTGGAATTTGGGATATTTGGGATTAGATCTACCTGGATTAGCATTACAAAAATTATATTTATTTCTATAGAAATCTAAATGCAGTAAAATGAATAAAATCCAGATATGTTAGCACAATAGCCCAGAGTTGCCTTCCCCAATAATTATGTCATCAAGTATTGGATTAAAATAAAGACCATATCCAAACACCTGTTCAGTGCCATAGGGTTGGGCAGTGTAATGGTAATAAAGTATACTGCTGTATTGATAATGCTGTTATTTAAAAATGACGGTATTTTATACTTATGATGTGTCAAATTTCTATTCCACTTCTGAATGCCTATTTAAACACATTACAATCATTTATATTTTAGAGGTGCTCACTGACTGGTGGTGTAAAACTCATAGATAGGAGGCACTGAAAAAAAGAGGAGAAAAATCAAAGCCAGAAAAAAAAAACAGAAACCATGTCGGCTCTCTCAGACATTAGTTTTGATCACCTACACTTGTGTCAGTCGAGCACCAGTTAGTAAAAATGAAACGTACTGTAGTGTGTGGCACTGTTTGGGTCTATAGCCTGCTCACTAAGCTAACATTAAGTTAGCCAATCAGATTCAGATCTAAACATCAAAGAATAGGTTTAATTTCACCTTTCTGTCACGTGAACCCCAGTTGCTTGACTCCACTCCCTCAGATTTGAATCATTATCATATAAACATGTGTCTGGGCTTTAGTTGGCCAGAATCGAATATGTTCTGTGGTGAGCAGAGTTGTTATATTGCTAGCTAAGCTAATCTTAACCAGCTCTCCTAGTTAACAGCACTGTTTAACATCTAGCAATTGTTGAATAGAGGCTGAACATTTATTGAATGATGACTTCAAAATTGTGCACTGCGTTCACTTATTTGGTGACCATCTAAGCAAACAAAACTTTTGACTATTTTCAATTTTGAAATAACACAGGACAAGATGGCACAAAAGTGACAAATGCTTTTACGATGCCCCCCGCTAATAAATACTGTATACCGCAGTAATATTTGGAGATGGTTTAAAGGTATAAAAAGTGGATACTGCCCAACTCAATGTTTTTTTTCATCAAATATCTGCTGATATATCAATATAAATGCAGTTTGAATTAATAACAACTGCGATAATTCTAATAACGGCTTGGCATGGCAAGTGGAGTGACTGATCCACTGCTGTTTCTAACCTACTGCAGACTGCAGCTAAGGCACTCACACACATATACTAACACACATTTCCCTCTCTTCTCTTTGGGGTTTTGCCCTTAAATGCACAGTACAGCTCCTCCATTCTACACACCCAATGTTTTGTGTGAAAATACACGTGACCAGCAGCCAAATCCATCTTCACTCCATCACACACTCAGTGTTCCTGCCACCTGCTGACTCTCCACAGCAGCACACCGGCCAGCACCTATAAATTACAATCCCCACTTTCTCCCCAGCAACACTCAGCCAGTGCAGTGCAATTGGAGCCTGGGGATGGAATCCTGCGGCCCTCCGGAGAAGTGCAGGGAGGCCTGGCCCGGCGTCAGCACGTCCAGCAGCACAGGAAGGAAAAGGGCTGCTCTGTTGACATACATGGAACACAGGAAAAACACACGCATCCCGACAGAGCTGAGGATTTGTGGGCTGGAGGACTTACGCAAGGAGCACATGCAGTCATGTGGGGAATGCCGAGGGTCAGGGTGGCAACATTCCAATCAGCATTGCTACTGACGAGTGCCCAGCCGGGCAAAGCCAACAGGTCAAAAGAGACAGGAAGGGGAGGAAAGAAACTTACTCAAGTTCATTCAAAAAAACAGGATGTACAGAGGGCTATAATCCAGAAAGGTAAAAATACCATCAGCGTGGTCTGCCAAAACTGCATACAGTTTATCTGGACTTGCTACTTATGTGAGCTGCTCTTTTCATTTAAAGCTTTCAGTCCTGCTCCAGTGTCAGGCAAGTATTAACGACAGGTTGAAAGTGCTGACCTTGCCAATTATAAGCCTAATGATTTTTTTTCCCCCAGTGTCAAAGACGCTGTACCAAAGCTTGGGTGTTGATGCTGGAGGTGGCTAAGGAATGCAGTGTAAAGTTGCATTTGTGGTTCTTGTTTCTCCAGATGAAGAGAGAATTACAGGACAGACTCGGGTGACGGAGGAGTAGGATGTTTCTTTCTCTCCCTCATAGGCTGCAATCAGAAGGTGAGGAGAGGATCCTGGGAAATCCCAGATAAACACCAGGCCTTACGTAACACTGGCCTCTTTTAACAAGGCACAAAGGTTATAGTCGGACATGCTGTATGTCAAATGATATTTATTGTCCAACCTTTTCACCTGAGAGCATCTTCACATATACATATAGATATGTTCATACAGTATGTTAAACAAACAAAATAAATCAACAGTAAACTCACATTAGGTGTATCCTAATGTTAACATATTACTTAATCCCTTCAAACTGTCAGAAGCTGGCAGTGAGTTAAGGAATTCATAGTGCATTCATAGTGGATAATAAGCCTTATAATAATTTTAATAACTGAATACTTATGTTGTTATCTGTTCAAAGGGTTAAAAGCACATCATGGCATCCCCTGTAGATGACAGTCAATTGTGAACACAGGACAGGACATGTAGTGTGACCTTAAGGCCAGTACAGGAGCACCCAGGTCAGGAGTGGAGTACAGGTGCTTCTTCGGCTGGGACTGCTCAGGCACTGGACAGCATGGTGGAGGTGAAGATCTGCTGCAGGATTTGGGGGATCTGCTTCGTGTCCATAGCAACAAAAGAACGTCCTGCCGGCAGGGTTCTCTGGAGCCTGGGTGTCGGAGACAGAGAAAAGACCCCCCACCCAAGCCAGCCCCCCCCCAGAAAAACATTACCAATGCAAATGTGCTTTTGCTTGCTATCAAAGTGAGCTCCTAAGCCTCAATGGGCTGACAATGGCTGTCATTCACACAGGCTCTTTTGTAAGAGGCAGGAGCTTGGGAAAAAGCCTTTGAGGGGGAAAAGGGGGCTGAAAGTGGAGTGCCGCCCTGCTCCTTTCACCCTCCTGCCCCCTCTTTCCTATTTCACTGACCATTCATTACTGTCATTCTGTCCCTTGAGAAGGACACATGTTCTGAAAGGCCTGGCCTTTAAATCATGGTGGGCTTAAAAAAAAAAGAGTGGAGTCACTGCAGGCACAGATTAAGGCCATGCAGAATGTGCTTTGACTGCAGTGGCATCACATTCATGTTGGCACATTCGTCCCATGTGCCTTTGCTGCCACGCAAAACAAAACAAAGTCATTTACATGAGCCTATGGACTATACTCTTTCATTGGGCCTGCAAGCCTTAGAAGCCTTTTTTAACCATACAAGCCACAACAAAGTAATAGTTTGCCTTAAGAAAAAGACATTATAATTACATTTCAAAGCGCTCTTTTGTTGAGCTTAAAAGATCTGACCTTGGGCTGTAATTACCAATATAATTCAATATTTGTATTTTTACACCCAAGGCCATGTCACCGCATAGCTCTGTACTGGCACGGCACTGTTGAGATGCACTCTGTGGCTTGATTGAGCCCTAACATTTTCTCAATAAAACTGAAATTTAATACTTGCCAAACACATGAATTTTCATATATATACATATATATATATGTGGTCTAAGTCACCTGTCAGCCTGGTCTCCGAGCGAGCCGATGAAGATGGCGAAGGCGTGGACCTGCGGGTTGCTGGTGAGTGCTCGGGCAAAACGGTCAGGGCTGATGCCGTAGCGCTCCAGGTTGGCATCACTCAGCACAATGACGAAGTGCTCATCTGCCTCCTCACGCGCCAGCTCTTTCACAGCATGCTCTGTGCCCTCCAGTGTGTAGTCTCCACTCATACAGAACTGAGAGTGAGCAAGCATGGTCTGCGAACAAGACACCAGAGAGAGCAAGGGTCCCTGTTACACCTCTACTGTTTTTAAAATAAACACAATTAATTAATTCAGTGCTGTCCAAAAGTTTGGAATCATTTATTATATTAATCCTTTTGTCATTTTATATACAATAACAACTTTAGTCTAAGTTATTATTGTACTGGTATTTATTCATGTTTTATTCAATATGTCAAGAATGTAAGGAGCAAAAAAGTTAAATGGAAAATAATGTACTGCAGCTATGTGCCTTAAAATTTATTCACCACTTGAAATATGAAGCTTTTTGGATATTAATTCTATTTTAACTGATGCTGATAGAACTTGTTCCTGATAACATCAGTATTGTTGCTGGTGTTAAACAGCTTTTTCAGTCATTTTGGAATCCTATAGGTGTCTGTTCATCATTATTGACACATCTATAATTACATAAAGCAAATGACCTACTAATTATTTAAAACCTGTTGAACAGTTGAACAGCACTGGCATATCAGAATGATTTAAACATGTATCCGAAAACAAACTGGCTATCTATTATCAAAGGCATTGATTCCAAACATGAATTAGTAGCACATGCACAAACAAAAAATGTGCTCCAAAATGATTTTTGATTGAAACTCTAGTATTCAGGTCATATACTGTGGAACTGTACATCTGCTTGACACTAAATAGGTCTGTACAGACAGGTGTTTATATGATGTGTTGATTACTCATGCTGTATTTGTTCTTTACCAGACTGTAACAAAGCTCAGACTCTAGAACAGAGCAGGCTGCGGTGGTGTGTCTCTTTAGCAGTAAGACTATTTGGGTTTCAAAACTCAAGTCTGACTAAGATTGTTTCACTGAATGCAAATAAGCAGTCACCGTGGAATTAACCCTTATGAGTTGAAATGCGTCTGTGTGCATTCATCCTGCCATGCTTCATGTTTCATGATCAGAAGAATGACTTCATTCCAAAAAGGCTTGCCAGGAAGTCAATTTCCAAACAAAGGGAAAGAACATGAGAGAAGGCACGCAGTACACAGGCAGGCTACATACCTTCAAAACCTTCAGCCTTTGCTTGTTGTTCTTGGGCACTTTTTCACATCTCACCAGCTCTATATCAAAGCCATCTCCTGAGTGTCCCACAATGTCATACTATAGAGGAAAAAACAGGAAAGGGGAGAGAGGTGATCTTAGTGTACCAGGAAACTACTGCGAATTCCAGCCTGAGAATGACACATACATAGACATCTACCCTACGTTCAAAAGCTTTTTTCCATTTATGTAAGCAACCCTAAAATACAGTGTGGTGACAGCGAGAGTTGGAAAAAGAAACTTAAAGCAGAAGTTACACAAATCAGTTATTACCTAACTACAGGGTGATGCAGTTGGCAGTATTAATTTATTTATTTTCTTAAAATAGAAAACAGACACCCACAGTATTTCATAACTGTAAGATATTCTGTGTTAGATAACAGTGTGTAAGCGCCTGTACACTCATAACTGTATTCTCATTATTAGACTTGTACAGAAGCTTATGCTTTTTTATTGGAAAGCATCAACAGTACCAAAGATTCCTATATGAAAAAGAAACATTGCAGGCTATGTATACAACGTGAAGAAAAATAAGATTTAAAAAAAAGTCATTTAGTATTTTCTTTTCAGGTTTCTTAGTTTTTAGATAATACTTTACTGTAAAACATTCTTTAAAAGGCTGTATGACATCTACATAAACTCATTATGACAACTCATATAACAGTAATAAAGGCTTACTGCAATAGGTGTTGTTTGTCATAAAGGCTGCCTTTGTCAATGTTGATGTCAAACTGACATACCTATGTCAGATGACATGAATTTTTTCACTTTTTAAGGTGAAATAGTACATAACTGACTTTGTAGCTTAGTATATATCACAATGCTGATGATGTGACACCTTATAAATCTTAATGCAGTGGTGGACGAAGTACACAAATCAGGTACTTGAGTTAAAGTAGAGATACCCAAGGTAAAATATTACTCCAGTAAAAGCAGAAGTCCTCCCTTTAGACCTCCACTTGAGTAAAAGTACAAAAGTATTTGCCTTCAAATGTACTCAAGTATCAAAAGTAAAAGTACTAAAGGATTAATTATGACTTTAATGTCCTATTACCATTTTTGTAACAAAACTCTTGTTTCATTAACTCATTTTAGGTGAAAATACTTTAGTGTCACGCTTAGTAAACCAATATTTTAATAGAATGTCATTAATTAGTCTGATGCAAATGTCTATTAAAATAATCATACGTCGAACCGTCGACGTTGAACCGTACGATGGCGTTTTAGGGCCACGGTTAATAAACATAAAAATAGTAGACTTTGAGAATAAAGTCGTAATATTTAGAGAAGAAATTTTAAATATTTAGAAATACAACATTAAAGTGGCATTAATACCAGGAAAGGTTGCAATATTGTGGCCAAAGGCTTTGCGAAGGGAAGGCAGCACCTCCTCGTGTTATAATGAGGGGTGCTGATAAGTTTGTGGAGTTACACTTTCATATCGATTTCACCCATAAAGAAATACTCAGTCTCCCTGTCTCTCCTGACACATCAGCACCAGCCTGTTATTAGTATAAGAAACGGCTGAAAGCAGGAAACCGTTTATTTAGAATAAAGAACCAGATGGACTCGGAGGAAACTGTCTGCCTGTCTTGTTGAAGGAGAATCGCAGGCAGGGTCATCTACAGGGCTAAACGTGTCTACATCTCTGCGCCATTCAAAGAGGGCATGAAGTTTCACAGACAATGAGAACGATAACCAAAATGATTGATCCACAAAGAGACAGGAGTGTGTGGGCGTGCCAGTACAGCAACCGAGACCCCAACGCGTTATGGCAGGCCCCCTACAGTTAGCCCACTTTATCCTCCAAATATACAACTTTTATCTCGAAATATGATGACTTTATTCTCGAAATATTGCGACTTTATTCTCGAAATACTGTGAATTTTTTTCTAAATATTATGACTTAATTCTCGAAGTCTACTATTTTTATTTTTATGAACAGTGGCCCTAAAACGCTGTCGTTGAACCGTATGCTTGCACTGGGTCAGTATGTCCAACAGGTCAAGACAAGCTCAAAACAAAGTGCGCGCTGTACCCTGATTGGTGTACTTGCTTCACGCTTCTTTCGTTTTGACTTTGAAAAAATGTTATGTTTTTATACACACATAAGCCAAAAGGAACGATATTTGAAATGTAGTGGAGTGAAAGTAAAAAGTCACCCAAAATGGAAATACTTCAGTAAAGTACAGATACACGAAAACAGTATTAAGTACAGTGTAACGAATTACATTTACTTCGTTACTGTCCACCACTGTCTTAATGAATGGTAAAGAGTCACAGGATCACAGAGAAAGCTCACTTTTGTTCAACTAGCCTGACTTGGCAAGCTATGTCATATTATCAGTATTATGTCACTGCCACACACACTGAAAGTGTAATGACACAAATGAGTATCAGAAAAAACTAATATGCATCACCTGACATAGATCTCATGTCAACTTGACATCAAAGTTGGCGAATGAAACCTTTATGACAAATAACACCTTTTGGAATTGTTTACTTCCGTTGTCACATAGGGCTTACAGTCGTATGCAAAGGTCTAAACACCTGGGTCAAATTACATGTTTTATTGATTTTCTGAGTTAAAATAAGTGAGCACATTGTCTACAGGAAGCAAAGTAAAACATGACATCTTTCTGTAAATTTTAGTGCAAAACCTCTATAAACCTGCTGAGTTTAACGTATTGAAAATAAATAAA